CCACTAACACAGCACCAGTGGGACGTGTACCCACTAACACAGCACCAGTGGGACGTGTACCCACTAACACAGCACCAGTGGGACGTGTACCGACTAACACAGCACCAGTGAGACGTGTACCGACTAACACAGCACCAGTGGGACGTGTACCCACTAACACAGCACCAGTGGGACGTGTACCCACTAACACAGCACAGTGGGACGTGTACCCACTAACACAGCACCAGTGGGACGTGTACCGACTAACACAGCACCAGTGAGACGTGTACCGACTAACACAGCACCAGTGGGACGTGTACCCACTAACACAGCACCAGTGGGACGTGTACCCACTAACACAGCACCAGTGGGACGTATAGTCACTAACACAGCACCAGTGGGACGTATAGTCACTAACACAGCACCAGTGGGACGTGTACCCACTAACACAGCACCAGTGGGACGTGTACCCACTAACACAGCACCAGTGGGACGTGTACCCACTAACACAGCACCAGTGGGACGTGTACCGACTAACACAGCACCAGTGGGACGTGTAGTCACTAACACAGCACCAGTGGGACGTGTACCCACTAACACAGCACCAGTGGGACGTGTACCCACTAACACAGCACCAGTGGGACGTGTAGTCACTAAAACAGCACCAGTGGGACGTGTAGTCACTAACACAGCACCAGTGGGACTTGTAACCACTAACACAGCACCAGTGGGACGTGTAGTCACTAACACAGCACCAGTGGGACGTGTAGTCAGTAACACAGCACCAGTGGGACGTGTACCCACTAACACAGCACCAGTGGGACGTATAGTCACTAACACAGCACCAGTGGGACGTATAGTCACTAACACAGCACCAGTGGGACGTGTACCCACTAACACAGCACCAGTGGGAAATGTAGTCACTAACACAGCACCAGTGGGACGTGTAGTCACTAACACAGCACCAGTGGGACGTGTACCCACTAACACAGCACCAGTGGGACGTGTACCCACTAACACAGCACCAGTGGGACGTGTAGTCACTAAAACAGCACCAGTGGGACGTGTAGTCACTAACACAGCACCAGTGGGACTTGTAACCACTAACACAGCACCAGTGGGACGTGTAGTCACTAACACAGCACCAGTGGGACGTGTAGTCACTAACACAGCACCAGTGGGACGTGTAGTCACTAACACAGCACCAGTGGGACGTGTAGTCACTAACACAGCACCAGTGGGACGTGTACCCACTAACACAGCACCAGTGGGACGTGTACCCACTAACACAGCACCAGTGGGACGTATAGTCACTAACACAGCACCAGTGAGACGTGTACCCACTAACACAGCACCAGTGGGACGTGTAGTCACTAACACGACACCATTGGGACGTGTAGTCACTAACACAGCACCAGTGGGACGTGTAGTCACTAACACAGCACCAGTGGGACGTGTAGTCACTAACACAGCACCAGTGGGACGTGTAGTCACTAACACGACACCATTGGGACGTGTAGTCACTAACACAGCACCAGTGGGACGTGTAGTCACTAACACAGCACCAGTGGGACTTGTAACCACTAACACAGCACCAGTGGGACGTGTAGTCACTAACACAGCACCAGTGGGACTTGTAACCACTAACACAGCACCAGTGGGACGTGTAGTCACTAACACAGCACCAGTGGGACTTGTAACCACTAACACAGCACCAGTGGGACGTGTAGTCACTAACACAGCACCAGTGGGACGTGTAGTCACTAACACAGCACCAGTGGGACTTGTAACCACTAACACAGCACCAGTGGGACGTGTAGTCACTAACACAGCACCAGTGGGACGTGTAGTCACTAACACAGCACCAGTGGGACTTGTAACCACTAACACAGCACCAGTGGGACGTGTAGTCACTAACACAGCACCAGTGGGACGTATAGTTACTAACACAGCGCCAGTGGGACGTGTACCCACTAACACAGCACCAGTGGGACGTGTACCCACTAACACAGCACCAGTGGGACGTGTACCCACTAACACAGCATCAGTGGGACGTATAGTCACTAACACGACACCATTGGGACGTGTAGTAACTTACACAGCACCAGTGGGACGTGTACCCACTAACACAGCACCAGTGGGACGTGTAGTCACTTACACAGCACCAGTGGGACGTGTAGGCACTAACACAGCACCAGTGGGACGTGTAGTCACTAACACAGCACCAGTGGGACGTGTAGTAACAAACACAGCACCAGTGGGACGTGTACCCACTAACACAGCACCAGTGGGACGTGTAGTCACAAACACAGCACCAGTGGGACGTGTAGGCACTAACACAGCACCAGTGGGACGTGTAGTCACAAACACAGCACCTGTGGGACGTGTACCCACTAACACAGCACCAGTGGGACGTGTACCCACTAACACAGCACCAGTGGGACGTGTAGGCACTAACACAGCACCAGTGGGACGTGTAGGCACTAACACAGCACCAGTGGGACGTGTACCCACTAACACAGCACCAGTGGGACGTGTAGTCACTAACACAGCACCAGTGGGACGTGTATCCACTAACACAGCACCAGTGGGACGTGTAGTCACTAACACAGCACCAGTGGGACGTGTAACCACTAACACAGCACCAGTGGGACGTGTAGGCACTAACACAGCACCAATGGGACGTGTAGTCAGTAACACAGCACCAGTGGGACGTGTACCCACTAACACAGCACCAGTGGGACGTGTAGTCACTTACACAGCACCAGTGGGACGTGTAGTCACTTACACAGCACCAGTGGGACGTGTAGTCACTTACACAGCACCAGGCTAGACTAAGGTCTCGTCTGGCTAATCGGTGTTAATGGGAGAGAGATGTCGTCCCTTCGTACCTGTTGTGTGGGTGACGTCACAAGCTGCTGTGTGGGTGACGTCACGAGCGGCTGCTGTGTGGGTGACGTCACGAGCGGCTGCAGTGTGGGTGACGTCACGAGCGGCTGCTGTGTGGGTGACGTCACGAGCGGCTGCTGTGTGGGTGACGTCAAGAGCGGCTGCTGTGTGGGTGACGTCACGAGCTGCTGAGTGGGTGACGTCAGGAGCTGCTGTGTGGGTGACGTCAGGAGCTGCTGTGTGGGTCAGCTGGTTAAGGCCGTGAGGTGTAGTTCTGCATGCCCCGTCTACCAGTCTTATTGTGCGTGTTTCTCTATGACTTATGGTGAACAGGTGGTGGGCTGGGCGCCTGCCTGGCAGGTTAGCTCCCCTAGACAAAGGGGAGGAGGCCCTCGTAGTTACCTATTAACGGCCTGGCTAGACTAGGGTAAGCTGGCCTCTAGCTGGGCTCGTCCAGGCTAAGCTGGCGTTTAGCTGGACGATACTAGTTAGTTGGCCTCTAGTTGGACTCAACTATGGTAAACTGGCAGGACAAGAATAGGGTTAGCTGACTTCTGTTTGGACAAGACAAGAATAAGTTGACTTCTGTTTGGACTAGACAAGAATAGCTGACTTCTGTTAGCATTAGACAAGGGTTAGCCTACTTCTTGCTGGATTAAGCTAGTGTGATCTCCCCGGAGTAGTCCAGACTAAACGTAGTGTCTAAGGAGTTACACTTGAGTAAGCAAGTCCGAGCTGCCATCATTGACACCAGTAAGCCTACTGAGGCCAGGTGTCTCCGAGCAGTAGCCTCGCGTGAAGAACTACTGGGCTGGACCAATGATTATGGCGGACACAATTAATATTTATGTGTCTGGCCCGTTCATCCCGTCCCCCCCCCCCCACCCCCCCCACCCTCTCTCTCTCTCTATCTCATCATCTCTCTCCCTCTCTCTCTCTCGTCTCCTCTCTCTCTCTCTCTCCCTCTCTCTCTCTCTCTTCTCTCTCTCTCTCTCTCTCTCTCTCTCTCTCTCTCTCTCTCTCTTCTCTCTCTCTCTCTCTCTCTCTCTCTCTCTCTCTCTCTCTCTCTCTCTCTCTCTCTCTTCTCTCTCTCTCTCTCTCTCTCTCTCTCTCTCTCTCTCTCTCTCTCTCTCTCTCTCTTCTCTCCTCTCTCTCTCTCTCTCTCTCTCTCTCTCTCTTCTCTCTCTCCTCTCTCTCTCTCTCTCTCTCTCTCTCTCTCTCTCTCTCTCTCTCTCTCCTCTCTCTCTCTCTCTTCTCTCCTCTCTCTCTCTCTCTCTCTCTCTCTCTCTCTCTCTCTCTCTCTCTCTCTCTCTCTCTCTCTCTCTCTCTCTCCTCTCTCTCTCTCTCTCTCTCTCTCTCTCTCTCTCTCTCTCTCTCTCTCTCTCTCTCTCTCTCTCTCTCTCTCTCTCTCTCTCTCTCTCTCTCTCTCTCTCTCTCTCTCTCTCTCTCTCTCTCTCTCTCTCTCTCTCTCTCTCTCTCTCTCTCTCTCTCTCTCTCTCTCTCTCTCTCTCTCTCTCTCTCTCTCTCTCTCTCTCTCTCTCTCTCTCTCTCTCTCTCTCTCTCTCTCTCTCTCTCTCTCGACACTTTCTACAGTGGAATCCATTAGTATTTGGACAGTAGCCTGATATCTACACACACTAGGATTATCACAGTAGCCTGATATCTACACACACTAGGATTATCACAGTAGCCTGATATCTACACACACTAGGATTATCACAGTAGCCTGATATCTACACACACAAGGATTATCACTGTAGCCTGATATCTACACACACTAGGATTATCACAGTGGCTTGATATCTTTATGCTCCAATGATGACCACATTATGAGGCCTGACGCCATGCTCACATCCCCCGGGTGTGTTCATGGGGTCACATCCCCCGGGTGTGTTCATGGGGTCACATCCCCCGGGTGTGTTCATGGGGACACATCCCCCGGGTGTGTTCATGGGGTCACATCCCCCGGGTGTGTTCATGGGGTCACATCCCCCGGGTGTGTTCATGGGGTCACATCCCCCGGGTGTGTTCATGGGGTCACATCCCCCGGGTGTGTTCATGGGGTCAACTCAGGAGTATTGTTGATGAATTATTGCAGGTGCAATATTGTAGTAGTGTCTTAGCCTCAGTAAATGGCCAAACAGATGCCCATTATTACTGTGCTGGCCACACAGATGCCCATTATTACTGTGCTGGCCACACAGATGCCCATTATTACTGTGCTGGCCACACAGATGCCCAGTATTACTGTGCTGGTCACACAGATGCCCATTATTACTCTGCTGGCCACACAGATGCCCATTATTACTGTGCTGGCCACACAGATGCCCATTATTACTCTGCTGGCCAAACAGATGCCCATTATTACTCTGCTGGCCAAACAGATGCCCATTATTACTCTGCTGGCCACACAGATGCCCATTATTACTGTGCTGGCCACACAGATGCCCATTATTACTGTGCTGGCCACACAGATGCCCATTATTACTCTGCTGGCCAAACAGATGCCCATTATTACTCTGCTGGCCACACAGATGCCCATTATTACTCTGCTGGCCACACAGATGCCCATTATTACTCTGCTGGCCACACAGATGCCCATTATTACTCTGCTGGCCACACAGATGCCCATTATTACTCTGCTGGTCACACAGATGCCCATTATTACTCTGCTGGCCACACAGATGCCCATTATTACTCTGCTGGTCACACAGATGCCCATTATTACTCTGCTGGTCACACAGATGCCCATTATTACTGTGCTGGCCACACAGATGCCCATTATTACTCTGCTGGCCACACAGATGCCCATTATTACTCTGCTGGTCACACAGATGCCCATTATTACTCTGCTGGTCACACAGATGCCCATTATTACTCTGCTGGCCACACAGATGCCCATTATTACTGTGCTGGCCACACAGATGCCCATTATTACTCTGCTGGCCACACAGATGCCCATTATTACTCTGCTGGCCACACAGATGCCCATTATTACTCTGCTGGTCACACAGATGCCCATTATTACTCTGCTGGCCACACAGATGCCCATTATTACTCTGCTGGCCACACAGATGCCCATTATTACTCTGCTGGTCACACAGATGCCCATTATTACTCTGCTGGCCACACAGATGCCCATTATTACTCTGCTAGTCACACAGATGCCCATTATTACTCTGCTGGCCACACAGATGCCCGTTATTACGAAAGTTGTCACAACTTTTAATAAAGCAGCTTTCAGGTCTTTGGTCATTTCTTAATTCTTAAAAATATGAAGTAATAAATTATATTTTGTTTTTAATAATTGCATTACATAGTCCAAAGGAATAGTCGGTATTTTCTTTCTTGCAAGCATCGTTGGCCAGTCGGTATATAAACTCATGCTTTCTACTGCCTTAAGGGAAGGGATCCCATAAATTTTATACGGAACTGATTATCACTGGTAAATATCACTTTTAATTTAATATTACCAGTCACTTCAGATTTTAACTGTGATGGGTTATTTTAAAACTGTAGCGCACTTTTAGTCACAAAAAAATCACTCCATCCCCCATTTAGTTTAAGGTACTCAGTGGATAGATAAATACCCAATAGCTCAATTTGCGTTGCGCTTGTCCAGTTGTTCTCTCTATGCCTTCTAGACATTATTTCATGTATTAATTACATTGCACATCCACAACGTGTTTTACCTGTGCTTAATTGCACAATCAGTCAAGGAATATTGAAGATGCAGGCCCTGGTGGCCAGCAGGCCCTGGTGGCCAGCAGCCCTGGTGGCCAGCAGGCCCTGGTGGCCAGCAGCCCTGGTGGCCAGCAGGCCCTGGTGGCCAGCAGGCCCTGGTGGCCAGCAGCCCTGATAGCCAGCAGGCCCTGGTGGCCAGCAGGCCCTGGTGGCCAGCAGCCCTGGTGGCCAGCATGCCCTGGTGGCCAGCAGGTCCTGGTGGCCAGCAGTCCCTGGTGGCCAGCAGGCCCTGGTGGCCAGCAGCCCTGGTGGCCAGCAGGCCCTGGTGGCCAGCAGGCCCTGGTGGCCAGCAGCCCTGATAGCCAGCAGGCCCTGGTGGCCAGCAGGCCCTGGTGGCCAGCAGCCCTGGTGGCCAGCATGCCCTGGTGGCCAGCAGGCCCTGGTGGCCAGCAGTCCCTGGTGGCCAGCAGGCCCTGGTGGCCAGCAGGCCCTGGTGTCCAGCAGGCCCTGGTGGCCAGCAGCCCTGGTGGCCAGCAGGCCCTGGTGGCCAGCAGCCCTGGTGGCCAGCAGGCCCTGGTGGCCAGCAGGCCCTGGTGGCCAGCAGCCCTGATAGCCAGCAGGCCCTGGTGGCCAGCAGCCCTGGTGGCCAGCAGGCCCTGGTGGCCAGCAGCCCTGGTGGCCAGCAGGCCCTGGTGGCCAGCAGGCCCTGGTGGCCAGCAGCCCTGGTGGCCAGCAGGCCCTGGTGGCCAGCAGCCCTGGTGGCCAGCAGGCCCTGGTGGCCAGCAGCCCTGATAGCCAGCAGGCCCTGGTGGCCAGCAGCCCTGGTGGCCAGCAGGCCCTGGTGGCCAGCAGGCCCTGGTGGCCAGCAGGCCCTGGTGGCCAGCAGTCCCTGGTGGCCAGCAGGCCCTAGTGGCCAGCAGGCCCTGGTGGCCAGTCATAAACACTGTAGCGGTCAGTGAAGCAAAGTGGCTGTGCTGGGATTTATGTAATGGCTGATGCTAATAAGTGGAAAGATTTTACAAGAGATGAAACAGAGAACAAGTTTTCCTGAAACCAAATCTTGGAGTAGACAGTAGCCAATGATGTCCAGAGAATGTTAACATTGGCTGTGAGATTATTGTCTCAAGAACTTTGCCTGTAATTGACAGCAGGGACGTTGGTCTGTTTGCTGACCACTGATCAGCTCTTCCTTTTGGGAACTGGAACTACAATAACTTTGTTCCATAAAAAGGGCCAAAGACCTTGAGCTAGGCAGAGTTGGTAGCCGCGGGTGAGGGAACAAACCATTGGGTCTCAGAGCGTGTAGCCTCGCCCGGCCTACCATATCTGGCCTCGCCCGGCCTACCATATCTAGCCTCGCCCGGCCTACCATATCTGGCCTCGCCCGGCCTACCATATCTGGCCTCCTCCCCTTACTTATGTTGAGTGATCTTCTTAAGGTTATCTTGAGATGATTTCGGGGCTGAGCGTCCCCGGTCCTCGACCAGGCCTCCTTTCCTTACACACACCCAGGAAGCAGTCAGGGTGAAAGAAACTCTGCCCATTTGTTTCTGCCTCCACCGGGGATCGAACCCGGAACCTCAGGACTACAGATCCCGAGCGCTGTCCACTCAGCTGTCAGGCCCCTGTCAGGTGATTATGGGAAGTGGTACACTTCTTGCTGTTTATCGCCACTTCTAACAAACTTAACGATGCTTGGCACAAGGTGTGGAAGCTGTCATTCTGAGTAAAGGATCTGAATCTTCTTGAGATTATCTTGAGTTGATTTCGGGGCATTTTTTTTAGTGTCCCCGCGGCCCGGTCCTCGACTAGGCCTCCACCCCCAGGAAGCAGCCCAAAACAGCTGACTAACTCCCAGGTACCTATTTACTGCTAGGTAACAGGGGCATAGGGTGAAAGAAACTCTGCCCATCGTTTCTCGCTGGCGCCCGGGATCGAACCCGGGACCACAGGATCACAAGTCCAGTGTGCTGTCCGCTCGGCCGACCAGCTCCCAATCGAAAATATCAGAAGGAAAATCATATAAAAACATTCATACGACGCTTTTCCCAGAAAATCAATATTTATTTATTTACAAGATGGTACAATGAGTTTGTGAGATTACATCATACTGGTATTTTTACATTGTTACAAAGTCACTAACACACGTAGCGTTTCGGGCAGCACTATAAAAGATCTAAGAGTAATCATGTCGTAAGACCTTATTTGTATAGAACACAGTAAAGTAGGTGTCGCAGCTGCGAGGAACCAACTGACAGGTTGCCTGGGTAACAACACTATGTTAGACGCGATGCCACACCAATCATGTTTGTCAAACACTAGTGGAATATTGTTGCACACTAACCGCCCCATTCACAGTGGGAGAAATTGTTAACCTGGAGAATGTGCAAAGGTCTTTTACTGCCCAAATTCACTAAAATCTAAATTATTGATTTTAGATTTTAGTGAATTTGGGCAGTAAAAGACTTTTTAACAAACAGAGATTTAATTAAATCTCTGTTTTTTAGAACATAAACAAGTGAGATACATAATATTTAGACGAGGAAAATATCAGAGGGGAATAGTTCCAAATCTGCCCACTGGAATACACCATGAAGCCAAGAGGCATGGCGGGATGTGCAAAATATCCCCATTCAAAAGTAGAAGTGGAATTGATACTCAGAAAGAAAACTCCAACAACATTAAGCGCCCAAGACTTTCCACCGCTCTTCCTCTACACACACGGGGCACAACTGGCCGACCTCTCAGTGTTCAAGAAAGAGAACTTGATAAACACTTCTATTGGATACCTCATCAACCAGGCTGTAATTCATACGCCAGGCTACGAGAGAGTTGCATCCAACAGCCTTGTTGATAAGATCAACAACCAGGAGGCCTGGTCAGAGACCGGGCCGCGGGGACGTTGATTCCCGGAACAAGTAAGAACAAGCAAGCAACAGCTAAGGGTTGACTAGACATTGGCATGTATCACGGTTGGTGGGACTTGTGTGAATGTGAAGCTGTAGCGCATGCATGATGAACTCCTGTACCTACACCAGAGTGTCTGGGGTTATATGTCAAACTTGGATAGGCTTCAGTAGAAGCCTCCAGACTTCCTGTGGATTCAGTGGCATCCCAGGTTATATAACCCTGAACCACGTCACGGTACAGGGGTAAGGAGCACAGCTGGGAGTGTCTTGCTCACTGGTCTCAGTCACCTCATTGCTCTAATTGATTTCTTTTTGTATAATAATATTTATAATGGCACTAGACTTGTAAGATGCACACGGGTCCATCGCTGAGTCCCAGGCTCCCATTTTGTTATTTCTGTCAACACATAAAGTCATGTATCACAAATCACAGTTCTATAGTGCAATGGCTCGCCCTGTAGACTCATTATTTATTATATTCCATAATCTGTTTGGAGAGTGACGATTAGTGAGAGAGGAACACCTCAGTGAGAGAGGAACACCTCAGTGAGAGAGAAACACCACAGTGAGAGAGGAACACCACAGTGAGAGAGGAACACCACAGTGAAAGAGGAACACCTCAGTGAGAGAGGAACACCTCAGTGAGAGAGGAACACCACAGTGAGAAAGGAACACCTCAGTGAGAGAGGAACACCACAGTGAGAGAGGAACACCTCAGTGAGAGAGGAACACCTCAGTGAGAGAGGAACACCACAGTGAGAGAGGAACACCACAGTGAGAGAGGAACACCACAGTGAAAGAGGAACACCTCAGAGAGAGAGGAACACCACAGTGAGAGAGGAACACCACAGTGAGAGAGGAACACCACAGTGAGAGAGGAACACCACAGTGAAAGAGGAACACCTCAGTGAGAGAGGAACACCACAGTGAGAGAGGAACACCACAGTGAGAGAGGAACACCACAGTGAAAGAGGAACACCTCAGTGAGAGAGGAACACCACAGTGAGAGAGGAACACCACAGTGAGAGAGGAACACCACAGTGAGAGAGGAACACCACAGTGAGAGAGGAACACCACAGTGAGAGAGGAACACCTCAGTGAGAGAGGAACACCACAGTGAGAGAGGAACACCACAGTGAGAGAGGAACACCACAGTGAGAGAGGAACACCACAGTGAAAGAGGAACACCTCAGTGAGAGAGGAACACCACAGTGAGAGAGGAACACCACAGTGAGAGAGGAACACCACAGTGAAAGAGGAACACCACAGTGAGAGAGGAACACCACAGTGAGAGAGGAACACCTCAGTGAGAGAGGAACACCACAGTGAGAGAGGAACACCACAGTGAGAGAGGAACACCACAGTGAAAGAGGAACACCTCAGTGAGAGAGGAACACCACAGTGAGAGAGGAACACCACAGTGAGAGAGGAACACCACAGTGAAAGAGGAACACCACAGTGAGAGAGGAACACCACAGTGAGAGAGGAACACCACAGTGAGAGAGGAACACCACAGTGAAAGAGGAACACCACAGTGAGAGAGGAACACCACAGTGAGAGAGGAACACCACAGTGAGAGAGGAACACCACAGTGAAAGAGGAACACCACAGTGAGAGAGGAACACCACAGTGAGAGAGGAACACCACAGTGAGAGAGGAACACCACAGTG